AGGATACCTCTCCATGGAGCCAAGAGCCAAGCCAAGCCCAATCGCACAACCCATTCATGCAGCCCCAACTCCATGGGCTCTCTGAGCAACCCTACCATCAGCAACAACAGCCCCAGCCTTCTTATCCAAATCAATCTTCTTACCCCGGACAGGAGGATGTCCCACCAGGTCTACCACCTCGTCGCACAGCTACGGAGATGGCACTTCCCACCGGACAGGACCGCTCTCACCAGATTGAGGTCATGCAGAGTTATGAGGCAGCCGGGCGAAAAGACGATGACGACGACAATGTCGAAGTGCTCCAACGCGAATTCCCGAAAATCGATGGAAGTCTGATCGCGGCGATCTACGGAGATACCAAGAGCTTGAGCGCGACAAGAGAAATGTTAGGTGAGCTGGAGTGAGAGAATTGCAAGGCTCATGGAAAAGTGGAGAGGCTACGAGATGGTGGAAATGAAAAGAAGCAAGGGCAGTAAGACTACCTTTCACTGAGAGTCTCATAAATCTCATAAAAACGGCTTTGCCGCGACATCAAGGTCATGTGTTTGCATTGTACACGTACCCGAGATATGCTTTCATCGTACAATACTGCCCCAAATTCATCCTTCTGACTTACATTTGCGTGTACTGATCCTACTCAACGTATCAACAACCTGGGAACGCGTTTTCATCATCCAGGAAGGTAAAGAGTTTTATTGATACTCCCAGATGCCCGGGCATCATGCACGGGATGTTTACCCTTGTCTTCGCAGTATCTCGATCCGAGATTTTGATTACCGGCATCAGCGTTCCCCACACGCATCGCGTATACAATTGAGCGTTTTTGAGGCTTCTGCTTTGACGACCGATTAGGAGGTTCAAGCTTATGTACTGCTACCTAGGTATGTTTCATCACCGAAAAACGACGAGACAGTGCGAGTCATAGTCTGAGCCACTTGGAGTTCATCCTGACGGCTGACAGGAACCCGCGAAATCACCTGGTGCTTCAATCGCGGCAAACCTTCCGCACTCAGGACGCGGCATTTCCTAAAGCGGAACCCCGCATTCTCGCCCAGCCGGCCCAGCTAGCATGACTTCAGCCCAGATGCAACGCCATGAATGTACCTGTTCGAAGCCTTGTTCTCGCGCAAGCTTTGACAGTCCTCACCTCCGCATTTGCTTCCCCGCGTATCCATAATTTCCCCGGACACGGTCCGCTAAGAGATTCCACATGGATACCTCGCGCTACATTAGAAGCATCGACGTTAAACTAGATGAGGAGATGCCGGTGCACATCTCTACGGGGTTGCGAGTATAAAGGATACATGATTGCGGCCCACATGTTTGGCTCACGATCATACTGTTTTGCAGTCCCTTCCTGCTTACCAGACTGTTGGGTTCAGGGTCTTCTTCAACATGTTTGAACTAAGAGGCAAGAGCCTCATCGCAGTCATTCTATTGACCTCTGGTCTTGACTTCCTTCTCTTCGGATGTAAGTCTGAAGCAACTCACTTTACATCGTGGTTCGATAGCTGACACGATTGAAGATGATCAAGGACTTTTCGGCGGTATCTTGGGTGGCCAGCGCTTCAAGGATACCCTCGGCAACCCAAACCCAACGATGACGGGACTAGTTACCGCTATCTACGATATTGGATGCGCGCTCGGTGCCGTCGTGGCTTTCGTCTTCGGTGAACGCATCGGACGAAAGCGTTCGATCATCCTCGCCAACCTCATCGTCGTGATCGGTGCTGCTATACAGACCGCAAGCTTTGATTACTGGCAGATGTTTGTCTCGCGCATCATTGGCGGTATCGGCGTCGGGCTGTCAACGGTTGCGGTGCCAATCCTACAGTCAGAGACATTGCCGGCGCACAACCGCGGTTCGCTGCTCGTCGTTCAGTCCGCTCTGATCATCATCGGTGTCGCGGTCGCTTCTTGGCTGTGCTTTGCGACACTGTACGCCGAAAGCTCACTGCAGTGGAGATTTCCCGTTGCTTGCCAGATTCTCTTCTCGCTCATGGTCTTGGCGCTCTGCCCATTCCTGTGCGAAACACCGAGATGGCTTGCATCACGTGGAAGGATTGACGAGGCGAAACACACTATCAGCCGGCTTTTGGACAAGCCTCTGGACGACGAAGAAGTGCAGGGTCAACTCCAGGAGATTCTCGACGCTATCGCGGCAGAGAGCAGCGAAGAGGAACCCACCTGGGGCGAAGTCTTTAGCAACGCCACTAAGACGCGCAACTTACACCGTGTTGTTCTAGGAATGGGCCCGTACATGATGAACCAGTGGAGCGGTATCAACGCGCTGTGCTACTATCTCGCCTACATCTTCCAGCAGTACCTCGATTACTCTCCGAGCATGTCTCTCATTCTTGCCTCCGTGGCCTTCACTCAGTATGCCGTGTTCTCATGGCCACCTTACTTCTACATCGACAAGATCGGGCGTCGATGGTCAGTCATGGGCTCGTCAGCCGGTTGCGCAGCATGCATGGCTATCATCGCCGGATGTCTGGCAAAAAACAGCTTTGCCAGCGCGGCAGCAGCTGTAGCTTTCATCTTCTTGTACCTCGACTGCTTCACTCTCGGTATATTGCCCGTATCATGGTCCTACTCAGCCGAAATCCAACCTCTCCGTGTCCGCAACAAGGCAACCGCGGTTGGCGTCTTCTCACACTGGATGTCCAACTTCGTTGTCGTCATGGTTACCCCAATCGGTCTTGACAACATCCGCGGCCATTACTTCTGGGTCTGGGCAGCTGTCTGCGCGTCCTTTGTACCGCTGACTTACTTCTTTGGCGTCGAGACTTCCGGACGCACGCTTGAGCAAATCGACATTATGTTCTACGAGAACCCAAGACTCTGCATGGGGCTCAACAAAGAGAACCGAAGAGTCGTAAGGGCGAGCAAGTCAGATGAGGAGCAGAGATACAGGGAGTTTGCACATGCCAACGAGAAGAACCAAGCTGTGATGGCGGAGAGGATAAGCCAAGATGACTAGATCGTGTTGTCAGATGCAAGGGGGAGAGTGTGGAAGGTCAATGCACTGTTCGAGCCGAACAATGTACGACGACAAATTTGAGTTATCGAATATCAATTAACAACCGACTACGATCAACTACATGATGCGTCCAGACACCGACTACGTTCAACTAAATGCCGTGTTCATCTACCTTCTCCGCCTCTTTGATGTGAAACACAATTTGCAAGTGCCTAGATTCTGGATCCGCGAAATCAGAAGCAACAATCTTGTCGACAACCCGACGACCCAACCCCTCCCTATGTTGTACCAGTAGGTAGGCGGTACCAGCTCCTTCAGGCGTCCCAAGTATCGCTAAGCCTTCGTCTGAGTCTGCATCAAACTCGTATTCGAGATAAGGCCCAGATTCGCGCGGCTGTACTCCAGCTGTTACATGCTGCACTACCATTTCAGACGCAACACTGTCCCCGTAGTGAGAGACGGTGCGTAACACAGGCTTTGGCGACTCTTTGCTTGTAACATGCATCCATATGAGGTATGCCACGTCGCTCCAGTGGCATAGTTTGGGCAACAGCGTAGGCACCGTTGCGCGCCCCGGCTGGTCTACGGATTTCATCAAACCCGATGCCAACGCGTGAGGCGCGTAGTTAGCCGCCGACTCGATCATGTCATCATCAAGATATATACTATTGAGGAACCAGGCGTCGGTGGGTAGGTAGGTCTCGCCGTTCCTGGTAGTTTCGAGCACATGTTGCGCCGAACACATAATCCCTACCCGGTCGGTTTTAACATCTAGAACATAGCCCCACTCTTCAAGGTCGGAGACGGATTGGAACTCGCTCTGGGGAATGCTGGGTTGGTCAGAATGAGTCTGTGTATGCAGCATCTTACCTTTTTCCAAGGCCTTGGTGTACGCTGTTAGACATTCGTCATCAGGGTACTTGAATCGCTCGCCAGTAGATCCTGTAGACATTGTTAATTTCGTGCGACTGCAAAGACCGAGAGGTGTATGATGGTGCTGAGGGTGCGATTAGAATGTCGAAAATTGTGATTGTATCTGTCTGCTGGTCACTGATAGTGAGAGTGCGATAATAAGAGCGTGATGGAAGAGCGAACAACCTTCATAAGTACATCTTTCACATCCGTGTCAATCGGCAGTGTAGGCATTCATCAGTGGGTGCACATCGTTGTCGGTATACAGTGATGTACCGCCGTCGCCGTGTATGGGACATTGTATCGACTCTTTTGGGTTGATGGATCAGCTGCGTTCAGTAGTAGACCGTTAACCGTGATAAGATAATTTTAACGCAAAGTGTTATTCTATAATGTCGACCTTGTGCCGGCAGAGCATTCTCGTGTAACTATGGCTGGGCTTCGTACTCCAGTGCCTTGATAGCCCAAGCCGTAGGTATTCCTCTGTTCCCAATCATCTTCTTACTCCTACCGAAACGAGATATCCACGCCAGTTCCCAACCTCCGTCACATTCCTGCAACTCTTTCAAAGATGCCAGGTCAGATTGGGTTTCCACATCGAGCTTCTGGCATGCTAAGACACGTGAGGCGAGGACGAAAGAATCCCCGGGGCGATTGACGCGTTGACGCAAGGCCTCAACCGTTGGCTTACGTAGCGACTGGACCTCAGGTGCAGTGGGATTATCTTCGATGAGACACGCCAGAAAGTACAGAAAGGTCTCGCTGGCAAGATAGTGTTCCGATCCATCGATGTGACCGCCTTTCAGAAGGACGCGACGAATGTGTTCGAGCTCGGGCTGTACTTCTGCGCCGCGTCCATATCTATAGAGGGCACGGACGGCGTTGAGCATAATGAACGGGCATACACGGGGCCTCGTGCCACCAAGATAGATCATGATAAGACCGTCTTTGTCGTGCCTGTTCTCGACGATACGGTCCAAGATCGGATTGGCAGATGCTGCAGGTGGAGAGAACGCAAGAAAGGCGAGAGCTGTATCGTCGACATCATCAGGGTCTAGGTTCAGGCGTATGGAGTCAGCACATACACCACAACTATTCATCGATTCTACTTACACGTTTTCGTTGTGCCGACTGGTGGGCCATTGAAGAAGTTCCATGCTTTGGCTTGGCTACGGGCCTGTCGGATGTCCGATTTGACATCAGCGTTGGAAGCGCCGGGTGGTGAGAGACTGATGACGCTATCATCATTCAACTCAATTTGTATGAGGAATTGGGCGAAGTGATCAAAAATCACGGGGGCGACATCCTGAATGCACGATGTGTGCTTGTGCGCATTCACGGTCATGAAGCGGCGTGCCCTGGCAACAGGATCCATCAAAAGGTTACGCAACTGACGAATAAGAGCGGTCGAAGAGTCGAAGACGATGCCATGAATCCCGAAGGAGCGGGCGGCATTGACGTTGGCGACTTTGTCGTCCACAAAGATCGCGGAAGAAGGGTCGCTCAAGTTGAGGCTATCCAGAACATGCTGGTGAAATTGTAGATCAGGTTTCGTCATGCCAACCTCAAAGGACAAAAACTCGCCGTCGAACAGATCCCAGTCGGATAGTAAGGTCTTGACAAAGGCGAAATGTTCCTTGGCAATATTGCTCATGGCATAAACCTTGAGATGGCCACCTAGCTCAGCTTTGAGCTCTTTGAGTTGGAATGTGAGCTCTTGATCGACGCGCAATGTCTTGCGGCATTCCATAAGCCCGGTATCGATGGCGTCAGGATCGAGAGAGAGCTCCTTGCTGATAGCTCGGATGGCTTCTGTCTCGCTAATACAGCCGCGTTCCAGTTCGCTCCAAGTTGGCGATCGGGTGATGGCGTGGAGACTTTGAGGAGAGATGGCAGTGAGATTTTCGATAGACCAGTGACACAGCACATCGCCGATATCAAGAATGAGCGTACGCTGTTGTTGTGATTTTGTGACGGCCATAGTGATGCGACCACCTTGTTGGCTAAACTCTGGTTGAGTCTTTCCACAAGTTATCAGAGGCTGGGATTGAAGGCAATGACTTCTTGCGGGATGCAGTGGAAAATGATCTTATGTACTCTCGATGAGACAGTCGATGCTGAAGATTGCTTGAGCTAGAATAGACGCAGAAGTTGAGTCTTATATACGGCGGTGTAGAAAATGGTGAAACACGTCTGCTTCCTGCAGCTGCACCGCGACCATCATCACCTCAAGCGATCATGGCTGTTAGCCATGTGGATGCCGTGTCTGTAGACTATGTCTTACTTTTTCCGATGCTTCTTTGGATGAGAAGCCCTCTGCAAGCCACAAGAAGAGCTTCAACATCATCAACGTCTTCGTAAAAGGATTTGTACGCTGTCAACCAAAGACATACTTATAGACGAAGCAAATATTCAGATAAGCGACGCGGTTTCACAAGTTTAGCCTCGACAAATCCCATTGACAGAATGCTTTGAAAGTGTATCTTGTCTTTCAGGTGGCGACTAGAAGATCTGCGTTGCGCGTTCAGTGCATCTGAGCCGACATCTTTGCGGTGAGACCGAATCCTTCTATAGTAGCATGTGGTCCATCTCACCATCCACGTTGCTTCGAATCACAGTATACTGCCACAGCTGTTGTGTAGGGGAAATGAGTTGTTCCACGCGTAGTCGCGCAGTAGTTTATCTCTAGTGTAATGCGAGACATTTGGCGATGATCACACGGCGTCTGGTACTCCGGGGTCTGTGCGATAGGCATGAAACGAATGGGTGTACATATACGTAGTCTGTTGGGAATGGCGACGCGATAATCTGGTACTTAGCGATGCCCTGACATCGCCACTCTCCGTTCGTCCAGCATGCGCGCAATAACCGCTACTATGTCAGCCCAATGTGGACAACCTGGTACAGAGGTTAGAAAAGAGAGCTTGTGATGCAAGACGTTGTACGTCGTTGAAGTTGTCGTGAGCTCTGATATGTACAAGCTTCAGCATGATGGTGAAAGCTAGAATTGAGCTGACCTAAAACCCTTTGCCAGATGCGCACAAGGGCTCTGAATTCTTGGAGATGATGTTTGCATACACTCCACTCCGGCATATGCACAAGGAGGAAGGTGGTGTTGAAGTATGCAGGTGCCGTTATCTCCTTTGTTTTCACGTTTGAGCTGGGGCCATCTGTAATCTTCCATTTCCGGTATAGCGTGGAGGCACCAAGCCCGATGCCGCAAATGTGCCGTCACCCACAGGAATACCCCCGACGAAGCCTCACCGAGCTTCACCGGCTACAGCAAGTATTCTGATCGCAGTCAGCAGTCACTCTGCCCAGAAGAAACAAACACGACCTTGATCTGTTGGCTGCCATCATACCTAACGTCGATGCGGATGAACGCCGCCGCGTCATCGGAGGCGGGCATCATCGCGCCCAACGTACGTTGCATCGAAGAAGAAGCTGATGGATGTGCACCCATCTGCATGCACCACACTAGTCAATCGCGCAAACCTCCGATCCTCTGAACATCACCCAGCCCGTCAAAATAAAACCCTTGAGGCCATGCCTGCAGGGACTGAACATCCTGCGCTTGTCGCTACCGGTAGTACCAACTTCTACACTCATTCGACGAATCTATCATCCGAAGATGAAAGCACCTTGCGTATGACATCGCTTACGTTTCCTCAATTGCATCTCCGCCTTCCTGACATGAACGACGCTGCTGCACTCCTACGACTCTTCACCGACTATCGCAATATCCAGCACGACAAGTCATGTGCCGGTCTTGACAGTAGTGACGCCATTGAGCATTTGATCAAGCAATGGCAGGTCGTCGATCTACCACTGCAGCGTGCCAACATCGTTATCGAGATAGATGGGAAGACTGTCGGTACCGGCGGCTTGGGCTGGATTGGCAGAAGAAAGACTGATGGCAAGCTGATAGGCGACGCAGGCTTGATGTTGGACACGTTTTATCGTGGCTCAGGCTACGGCTATGAGTCGTTGTGTATGGTCATTGATCATGGCTTTGCTGTCCTGGGCATGGATGAGATACACATGGCTTGTGTAGATGCTAATACTGCGGTCAAGGGGCTGATGAACAAAAAATTCGGTTTCCAGGCTGAGAAAATAGACGACAAGATGTTCGGAAATGAATGGATCTGGCGCATCCCGAAGGAGTCGTGGGAAGAGAGTACGCACTCTGCGCGAGGGCGAGGCCAAGTTCAAGAGAAATCATGGAGAGTCACCGGCGAAGATTCACGGCCATAGTGAGTGTCACAAGCATCCAGCGATAATCTTTTGGCTGGTGGAAGTTCTGCTTGTTGCTGAATAGGTTGCTGGGGCCTATTACTGCGAGCAGACCGGATCTTCGTTTCGGTCCCTCGCCTTTGTTGACAATATGACCAATCACAGGTTCGACTTTATCATAAATCGCGTGCGAAGCAGATGAATTAAGATCCCGTTGAGTCTGTTGACAAGAACAGCATGATGCAGGTTTTGCGCAGAGTACGTTGATGCACGTGGACCAGAGCGCACCAAAGCCGCATTGTTGAGTTTGGAAGCACGTATTTCCTTCTTCGACCTACGCGACCAACGAGCAAGCATTCAGGAATTATTCCGCTGCGCAGTATGGAAGTTTGTGCTGAAAGGAGGCGTGAAACGCATCAAATACACGTAAAGTCTCACATTCCCGCATCCCGAGCTCGTCTTCCATCGGAGAGCTTTCCGTACACCTTCCCCATCACAACACCATGATTTCAGCTACATCAATAACAAATAGAGTCTATGGTTTTGCGAGTAGCGCGGATCTTATCCTTCATAATAATGCCGGTATTATCCTGATGCTCTTGGCGCAAATATGCTCCACCATCCTAGCGACATTGGGGCGCATCCTGGGAACGCAGCGTAGCGGCGGTTCAGGCACCACAACAGTCGGTACTTCCGAGGTATGGAGATATGCTACCCGCCCACCTACGCAAATACTGATGTTCTCCAGATACTCATTGTAATGATGTCGATAATCGCTGTTCTGTCGTGGACGTACATAATACTGTCCCCGGTAGCCATGCCTGGTGGTGCATTCGGTCCTCCCAAGCTGCGCCCTCTACTCGTCGTAAGAGGCATTGCGGGTTTCTTCGGTATCTGGGGCTTCTACGTCTCTCTACGCTATCTCGCATTAGCTGAGGCGACTCTGATTAACTTCCTCGCGCCAATTCTTGCTGCCCTTCTCCTCGGCTTGTTACCAGGTCAGCAGCGATGCTCTGTCGCTCAAGTCCTCGCAGCTCTAGTTGCGGTCATCGGCTTACTATGCGTATTGCAGCCTTGGAGCGCCCATATAACGAATACGCCTAGAGCACACGCGCTGGCCATCGGTGCGGCACTTCTCGGTGTCCTCGGCGGCGCAGTCTCGTTTTTGACCATGTCGTGCCTAGGAGAGCACGTACATCCGATGACGACGGTTGCATACTTTGCGCCCATATGTACGCTCCTCAGCGGCGCATCGCTCATCATACAGCAGCAAGGCTTGAACTTCCCATCTACCGCTGTAGGATGGCTGTTCGTGTGCGTGCTGGGCATATTGGGGTTCGCTATGCATTGGCTCCTGGCAGCGAGCTTGATGACCGGCGATTCGAAGAGAGCGCTTCACATAGTAAACCTGCAGGTGGTGTTCGCTATGTTAGCGGATAAGATTGTATGGACACTGGAGCCGGGATGGTGGAAGGTCGCTGGTGCGGTATTGATCGTGGGGAGCGTTATATTTGTTGCGGCTGTGAAGGAATCTGAAGGATACACACTGGTTGGAGAAGTCGACGAAGAAGAGAAGATTGAGACTGAAGGTGCCATTCACTGAGGCGAGGACAGCCAAAGCCACGGATTTCTGCATTGCGCTGGAAATGAAATGCGCTGATGGGACAGCTAATCTGTAGAGGTCAAGTCGCCAAGACTTCAATCCCAACTGGCCCGGCACATAATTATGCACCTGTCGTCCCTCAAACCAAGTCTTTAAGACCGTTTCTCCAGCAAACTCTCCTTGGCTCAAGTCCTGATCAACAGCAATTAACTTCGCCATTTTCCCGACTTCAATGCTGCCCTGCATGCGACTTCTGCCCACAGCTTCTGCACCTCCCAGCGTGCACCACCCTCCTAGACAACATCCTTCCTTCTCGGCACAAATTTACAGACCACCGGCTCTGCGCATTTGAGATTAAGCTCAACCTTAATCTTCATCTCCTCTGTCCCGTCCTTTCCACCACCAAGACCACACCACTCAATCCGCTCAAACTCCTGCAATAACCTGACAAGCACATACTGAATCTGAAACCTGCCAAAAACCCTCCCAGGACACTGTCTCGGGCCAATGCTGAATGGCAAGTAAGTTCCGTATTTCGGTGACCATGTTTCCCAGCGTGAGGGGTCCCAGATGTGTGCCGTGGGGCCGTAGAGAGAGGGATTGCGTTGAAGGCCTGCGACTGAGTACACTATGATTTGTCCCTTCGAAACAGAGATAGGCTCTTTGCCCTCTGGACCGCCGCCAACAGGTAGGACAGCGTCGGTGCGGGCTTCGCGGATGTTGAGACCCAACGGGTGATACATCCGCATTGACTCTTTTACCGTGTTGGCTAGGAGGTCTAGCTTGCGAAGTTGGGAGGGGGTAGGAATGGAGTCTAGACCGATGCTACACAGATGACATTTGTCAGTGGCCGACCCCCATCTTCATAATGACGTGGATGTGAGGCATGTACTTACTGCTCTTCCACCTCTCGTTGAAGCTTCTTGTACAGCACTGGGTCGCGGGCGAGGTGGTATATTGTCCATGTCGTTAGAATAGCACCGGGGTCTTTCGATGCCATCAACACGGCTATAAGCTGGCCGCGGATGAAATATCGATCATTCGGATGCGTAGACACGAGGTCTTCGACGAGATTGAACTCTTTTTCTGTCTTCACGTCGGTTTGGTTGTTGACTGGGAGGGCTAGTGTCTTCTCGATCAGATCGTCAATGTAGCGTGTTAGGTCGCGGTAGGCTCGCGGCGCGAAGAGCCAGTCGGGAAAGAGGTTTGCGAGGCGTCCGAAAAGGAGACGATTTGTGTTGAACGTAAGGAGCTCTTCCATGGCTTTGCGAAAAGGTTGTTCGTTTGCAGAGAGGGATCTTGTGGATTCGCCGAGAAAGACTTGAGACACTAGGTCGAGCTGAAACCTGTCAACCATGTCGTACACATCCACCCTTTCGAGTGAGTTCTCGATCAATCTTAAAAGCTTCTGCATATGAACTTCAGCGGTAGGAATATCATCCGGACGCACTCTCGACACGTGCGGCTCTAATTGCTCCCTACTCGTCTTCCACAAAGGCCCGTCCGTGGTAAACACCGAGTCCCCCAATATGCTACTGAACACATCATGTGGTGTCTGACCTTTGGCGAAGTCCGTAAACTGATCTGCCTGAATAGCCTTGATGTTCTCGGCTCGGTCGGTAATGAAAATGTCGCTGCCGAGTAGGTTCATTTCGACTGTGCGGCCCGGTATGGAGAGAACTTCGTCGCAGATGTATTCGACGAATGTGTTGGAGTGAAGGCGCGTTATGAGGTTCCATGCCATGTCTAGTCCTATGGTTCATGGGGTGGTCAGTCTCACCCCCATATTCAAGTGACGCGAATACTGCTAACCAAAGGGTAGTTTGTACGGGAGGCGAGGAGCATGCGGGATCGATAATCTCGTCTTGTTGCCATCTTTCAGTTTTGAGGCTAGAACAATAAGGAAGATAATCATCACTGCGCCGTATAGCAACAACTTTGAGATATCGCCCTCTATAGTCGTCAGAATACCCATCTTCGTGGTTGGCTAGTGGCCAGTTGAAAGACTTGATGAATATAGGATGCAACGGCTTCCTATAGGTGTGCAAGGTCCGGCACAGGATGTATGTGCTCATCTAGTTCGACTTCAGCGCTAGACTCGCTAGGAACTTGGAGGGAACCAACGGACTGGACCACGATCAACAGAGTACTGAGGCTCCAAGTGGGTAATGGATTAGCCGGAATCGTTCGCCATGGCTACATAGATCAGATATGAAGCCGCTTGGGTGGGACTCCAGGTGCGTTGATTCGGGGTGACGTCGGATCGGCATGACTTCGGATAGGCTGATCTGGGGGTACTGCGGATGGAGCTAACGGAATGACTTCGGATATGGCTATACATAAACGTTGCGGTAAGCGTTTTGCCGTGCAACGGCAAGCTCCATGAAGCCAGTGAATCGTGCCCTAGCCACAGTACTTTTGTACTAGCCTCCGGCTCAGGTTGTAACACTCTAGCTCCAAATGGTTGAGGATGTCAGTACTTTGGTCACCATCTCTATCTCCCGGAACAACTGCTGAGCCATCCATGCCTGCACTGGTCGACTTCCCTCTCAGAGGGCTAGCTCTCATCGCCAAATGCGCCTTCGAGCCCATCGTTACCGGCCCTCTTCTTGGCTTATTGCTATACGCCCCAGAGAAGACATGGAGATGCGCCTTGGAGGCAACATCTCTTTCGCATATCGTGGATGAATACAACTTGCTCCGCGTACTGGGGTTTCTAGCTGCTATCGGTATAGTCAGGAAGACCAATGCAGCTCTGAACGCGTGGGCAACAAATAACTGGCAAATATATGCCGGTCGTGGCTGGAACTGGCCCACTGAAATCGCAGTCGTCACTGGAGGATGCAGTGGAATTGGCAAAGCCATCGCAGAATCTCTCACTTCTCACGGAATTCGCGTGGCAGTGCTCGACGTGCAGGATGCGCCCAAGGTATCCGCATCGAATAACTTGACGACATACTTCCGGTGCGACATCTCCAGCCCTAAATCGATAGCAGAAACAGCTGAGAAGATTCGCAAAGACCTTGGCAGTCCCTCAATTCTCGTCAACAACGCCGGCATCACGGGTTCTCACACCATCTTGAAAACGCCAAGCGAGTTCCTCAGTCGTATCTTCGACACGAACATCCTTTCCCACTGGCGGCTAGTTCAACAGTTTGTGCCGGATATGATCGCGAAGAACAAAGGCCATATCATAACAGTCGCGAGCGTCAACTCGTTCCTGACGAACTCGGCTAATGCGGACTATGTGGCAACCAAGACCGCAGCTTTGGCGTTCCATGAGGGTCTCACGAGCGAGCTGAAAATCTGGTACAAAGCGTCGGGTGTCAAGACTACGATTGCGCATCCGAGTTGGGTCCGCACGCCCTTGATTGAGGAGATGATCTTGAGAAGTGGCCAAGACCCAAAGATTCTCGAGAAGATGTTGATGCCAGAGGAAGTTGCTGAGGTCGTGGTGAGGCAGATCATTAGCAGGCGTGGTGCTCAGTTATTCATCCCTAGTATCGCGGCGCCTATCTCATGGTTGAAAGGGTTGCCGAATTGGGTACAGGAGCTTGTGAGAGACGCGTTCGGGAAAACGAGTGCTGTCACCAGTAGTTCGATGATCGCGTACTAGATATCAACACTCGATCAAAATGTGTATTGAAGCTTGGACGCCAGGTTGACGTTCCAGTATTGTCAGTTGCTTGCTTGTGCCAACTTTGTCGTGAAGGCGGTGCCAGTCGGACGGGATCTTGCCAAGTGACGTTGGTTACGTCTCAACCCTCTAGACCGCTACAATTCTTCCCAGGCACACACAACTGGATGCAGGAGTTCTGATACGTGTCTAGGACACGTGGGAGACTTGTTGCGGTGAATCGAGCTAGAACGGGTACTGCCGGTACGAAGAAGGGCCTTTTCGGCAGCTTGGGGCAAGGGCCCATGTCTAGTCGAGAGCTCGGCAGAATTCCAATGGTTAATCTTATGGGCTTCTGATTCGTGTTTCGCTTCTGGTACGATGCCAGGAGACCTAGCTGAGCTACTGCAATGTCGAGTACGGTCACTCGCATGACAGGAATGAGGCGTTACCAGTGCAGGCATTCTACGCAAACCTAATTTGCAGGACCAGGACTCTTGCTTATCGTGCACGATCTCTTGGCTCTGTAGCTTTATTCGACGTCTTCGCACAATCGTGGATTCTGGTGACCAACCATCGCGTTCCGTTCAGTGTTGCTTCTCATTCATCCAATATCGAAACATGGCTGCCGAATTCTCTTTGGCCGAGACGCCAATCGGCAAATACTTCGCATCCATGGCGGAGATGGGCGTATTGCGCGTCTTCGTTGAGCACGGCATCTTCGACGCCATTCCAGAAGAGGGTATCTCTCTCAAAGACCTTACGGAAAAGCTGAGCATAGAGTACAAACTTCTGGATCGCTTCACGGCCTTCTTTCTCGCTATTGGTATGCTGACTGGCCCGGAACCTGGCCGTGTGGCGCATACACCAGCGTCAAAAGCATTCACTGACCCCCGCGTCGCGCAATTCTATTCGTACCTCTTCGACTTCTTTATGGGGCCAACGACGCGGTGGACAGACTACTTCGAGGCGAACGGGCTCGCTGAGCCGGCTAGATCGAATCGTTCGCCGGGAGGATTTGCGCTGGGCATGCCCGATAAGACAGCGTATGAAATCATGGCGGCGATCCCGGGGTTGGCCACAAGGATGAATGGGGCGATGGCCATTGACGGTGATATTCCTGTTACGGGGGTTTATGATTTTGGCTGGGTAGCTGCATTTGCCGCGGGAAACGTCGGTTCGGAGAGGGAGCTGATCGTTGATGTTGCCGGAGGGAAAGGTCAGGCGTTGAAGGCTATCTTGGAGGAGACGCCCGCCATTCCTGCCGCCAGGTGTGTCCTGCAAGATCAGCCGCATGTCATCGCTGAAGCGGAGGAAGAGCACAAAGATTCTGCTGTTCTGGGCCCGGTGAAGAAGATTGGGCACAGCATCTTTGGGGAACAGCCCACCAAAGGTACGGAATTAGAGTTCTATCCTCCCGGGATACACGATACTTGTGCCAGGACACAAGCTGACGGACCACTCTAGGTGCTCTCGTGTATTACATACGTCGTGTCCTGAACGACTGGTCCGACCACGAAGCTCTTCAGATTCTGAAGAACGTGCGCGCGGCTTGCGCGGACGACTCGCGCGTGTTGATTGCTGAGTATCTGCGCCCTGAACAGCCAAGTGTATACACTAGCACCGTCGACATGTTCATCTTAAACATCGGCGGAAAGGTGCGCAGTGAGAAGGCGTTTGCCGAGCTTGCTGCGAAGGCGGGGCTGATGATCGCGTCGGTGGTGAGGCATGGAAAGACGGAGTCGGCGGTGGTTGAGATGATACCCCAGCCACCGCCGATCTAGCTGGAGGATGTCGTGTCCGTGCGCACAGAGACCGAAATCCCAAAGTGTACTAGTGCAAACTACAGACATGCTCGGGCCGTTCCCTACGCCTCTGTCACTCTAGCCGTAGAATGCAACTAGAAATCTACCGAGCGTGTATTATCGTACATAAACTGCTAATTGCTGTTGTCGGAACGTTCCTCGGCCTTAGCCGCACACCGCCATGGTTGATCTGGATTCTGTGACCAACTCGTCCGTCGGCCGCGTCGGCTCCTCTGTGGGTACCTTAGGTGCTGGCTGACGTGCAACAACGGCGACCGGATATCTGTAGTCGGCAATGAGTCGAAGGGCCCACGGAGCGTGGGTGGGAACATTGCACTACTCCGCCGCAGATGCATGATCCAGGCTGGAGACCACGACTTAGCCGCTATGGGAAGGATTGAGACGGCATGCACTGTAAGGGTCGGTGCAATCGTCTTCCATAGTTGACTTCGCAACTGCGCGTGTTGAGCTGTCGACCCCGGCAATCACCTTCTCCTGTGCATGAGATGCTGACACAACCCGTATCTTGTATTCGTATACACTGCGAAAGAGCGTTAATACCAAGCTTTCTTCATTGCGCGCACAATGGGCTCCACAAGGACATGGCCTATTGATGCGCTCACTGAGCATCAGGAGCTCCTCTCATTCTGGGTATTGTTAGAAGTAGCCCTATACGCTGTATTAACCCCGGACAAATGACACGTAGGATATCTCTACTGACGTACGCTACAGGTCTTTGGGCATACCGTATGGTCCGTCGTATACAATCTCTACTTTAACCCACTTAGCAAAGTGCCCGGACCGTTCCTGTGGTCTGTATCGCCACTCCCACTCCTGTTGATGTCATGGTCGAGCACGCCGCACAAACAGATCCTGGCATTGCACAGGAGGTACGGCGACGTTGTCCGCACAAGCCCAGACTCAGTGTCATGTCTCCACGCAACAGCATGGAAAGAAGTATACGGGCATCGCAAGCCCGGACAGCCAGAGAACCTCAAGCACCCAGGCTTCGTAGCCGAAGTCGCCTCAGGCATCATCGGGGCCGACACAGAATCTCACACGCATCAACGTCGTCTGCTAGCGCCCGCGTTCTCCGGGCAAGGCATACAGCGCCAGGAGCGTATCATCCGTCACCATATCGACCAACTTTTCAGCTGTTTTGGAGAGCACTGCGCCGAAGGTCGATCCCTGGATCTGGCCAGGTGGTTCAACTTCTTCTCGTTTGATGTCATTGGCGATCTCAGCCTCGGCCAGTCTTTTGCGAATATGGAGCGGAGGGACTTTCATCCATGGGTTGCGACAATATTGGAGTTTTTCGTTGCGCAGCATGACATGGCACACTTCCGGCGGGCGTATCCGTTGTTGGAGGCGATGATAAGCCCGTTTGTTAGAATCTTTGCCAAGAAGATCATCGCGAAGCATAATCTGTTCATGCGTACTCAAGTTGCGAAGCGTTTAGCTTTGGAGCCCAGCCGCCCGGACTTCATTGAAGAGATGAGATCCGACAATACTCAGGGAAAATGCGTGAGTGCATCCACAATGCTGTCTTGGTCCCAATTCCGCTCATGGATCTAATGGCGCGATAGGGTCTTTCCTTTGAGGCAATCTGCCATAACGCGAGCATCTTCGTCGTAGCCGGGTCCGAAACAACTGCAGTTGCGTATGACGAAGCTTTCCTATTTTGTCCATTTCCTTTGGAAGTATCAATGTACTGACCATCTCTTGAGTCAGACTTGCTGGGGCAACTTATCTCCTCTGCACCCACCTTGAGACGCTCGCTAAGCTAAGGAGAGAGATCGACGCATTTTTCGATAGCGAAGAGCAGATTACACTCCTCAGTGCGCAGCGTCTCAGATACCTCTCGGCTGTCATAGACGAGACGTTGCGTATCCATCCGGCTGCCGTGGGCTCAGTGCCACGACTGATTCAGCGCAATGGTGAGGTCGTCGGGGGGCACTTTCTGCCTGGAGGGGTAAGTCTCAAAAGCATTCCCGCAAATCCTTCTGTGGACTTCTGAACACGTCGCTGATTGCAATGGGAAAAACCTAGACCTGCGTGGACATTTGGCACTGGGCGATGTATCATAACCCAGCCAACTTCACGGAACCAGAAGTCTTCGCTCCAGAGCGCTGGCTCGGAGATCCTCGCTTCGAAGCGGATAAGAAAGCGGCATTCCAGCCCTTCTCGACAGGAAAACGCAGCTGTATCGGCCAGAAGTACGCCACGTCCCTGTGTCCGGTTTCAATACGAGAGATTTCGCTGACTGAGAATTCGCGAATAGTTTGGCACATTCCGAGATAAAGCAAATATTGGCCCGGCTGCTGTGGAAGTACGATATTGAGCTTGTGGACCGCGAGTGGCTTGAACAGCAATGGCACGATCAACGCGTGCGCGCATCTTACGTGCAACCGCCTTTGAACGTGAGGCTTACCCTCAGACGAGAGAGGTCAGATCTGGAGTAAAGATGCAGTGTGGAAACAGCTGAGGTTGCATTGATGATGAAGCTCAGGTGTTCTCTGCCCATGGGCAGGCGGGAGGCAGAAACCTCGGAGGCTGGAGCCGAGGCTCCGAGGGCTTGGCATGGATCTCGTCCCGCCATCTGTCGCGTCCCGTCGCGTCGCGAACAACAACATTTCTCTTCTCCAATTCTTCGAACGCAGCTACCACTTATTTTATGGGCTAGATTGTATCTACGCGAGGTGTCTTCGACCAGGACAACTTCACTAGTAAGAAAACTTCATGCGGAAAGAGCTGCCTGCGTTTTGATGACGTCAATATCTTTGGCACTGCGATATGGCAGTTTAGTTTGACCCTCCCAACTAAAAGTCTTGCATTGCGCTGTGCGAAACGTTCATGGATTCCAAAATCTGCCTGGTGTCGCTCAGAACCTTCTTTTCCAGATCGTCACCACGTTTCGAATACATCAGAACGGGATAACTACGACAGTGTCAGCGAAAACCTCAGTCAGAGTGCATCGTTGCAGTTCCTCGACTTACGGACGTACTCCCCACTCACTCAAGAAGCCCCCATGGCTTTCTCGACCAGCGACCACTACAGCATGGACATACGTGCTGGCGCCCTCTGCCAAGCTTCTACCAAACAAAGCGAAGTACACCATCAACATATACCTCATGACAGCGTTTGCGTTTAGTGTACGCCAGATCTCTGTTTCTCCCACCAGCCCAGGACAAACTGTATTGATAATCACTTCATCGGAGTTCACCAGCGATGCCAGCTTCCTCACGAAAAACATCTGTAACAACTTCTCGCGTGCATACCACTTAGTAACGTCATACTTCTCGTCGAACTGCGGCAAGATTGGTTTCCCATGGTCGAAATCCGCGAAATATGCCGTCGTCGACGTTACAACTGTGAGCCTCGCCGGCTTTCCCACCAACCCGGTTTTGGCTCTCAATATCGGCAAGAGAAGCACCGCCAACATGATAGTCGAGAGGTAGTTGACCTGGAAAGTCTGCTCTTTGCCTGTCTTGGAAGAGACAACATAGTCCTTGTTCTGCACACCGGCGTTCAGAACTACCATGTCTAGCCTACCCAGAGTCTGACATCGTCTGGCAAAAGCCGCGACAGATTCGGGATCTTCCATATCTAGGATCCAGACTTCGACTTCAGCGCGCATAAACTGCCTACGGAGGGCTTCTGCTGCAACATCGCCTTTGGCCTGCGATCGGACGGCTAGAATGAGCCGAGAGAGATCTAGCTGGAGGAGCTGTCGCGCTGCCTCGAACCCCAGGCCGGTATTCGCGCCGGTGATAATGGCTGTCTGACCTTCAAGAGTGACTCCTGCTGCCATTGGCGGAGGATGCATGAACAGTTGGCGGTACATGAAACCTATACCGCTTTGGAAGGTAAGGCGACTGTTGATTCGGTCCCACAAAGACATGTCGACTGCGTTGTGTTGGAATTCGGAGATACTCTTTGTGATCTATCATCAGAACACGTTACTATCTGGACGACTTTAGTGGCAGCGGTGAGCCCTCGAAGATGAGGTGTTTGCATTTGTGGGTCGAAACGGTCCCTGAATCGTACTCGTATCATACGTAAAGCCACCGAGCTATGGCCTAACCACCGGAGTAATACCTAGCCACCGGATTACGCCCTAGCCACAATTCATAGAGTCCGGCCGGTTCAACAGCCACCGAGGTGAGTACAATCGCATGCGGTACTGACCGGTTTAGCGTCTCCACATACGGTAATGTGCCTGACACCATGGTAGCTACTCTGGCCTTCGAGACAAGGAAGGTACTCATGGGTCATGACCATGATGAAAGCGGTTTTCGGCGAGACGCCTGTTGTATTTAGCAAAGCTCGGTCACTGACTGTCTTTTCAACGAAACGAGCTTGTACATATCGAATTCCCAGACTTGAATTGTACTTGCGACCATCCCAGGTAATCTTCCACGAACTTTATCGTTAAGCCTAGGAACATCTGCACTTGGCAAGAAGATTACAGGACGTTGGAAAAGCTTGTATCCGTCAAGCTTCCGTACCATACCAAATACCGCAATCATGGCTACTACCGACAAGACAACGCCCATAGCCATCATCGGCATGAACATGAAGTTCCCAGGCGACGCCGTATCCGCCTCCTCCTTTTGGGAACTGATAATGAACGCTCGAAATGTATCCAAAGAGATACCCGCCGACCGCTTCAACATAGATGGTATGCAACCATTCCCTCCACGGAAGTAAAAATGACCCTAAGCTAACTTGAACTGACAGCATTCTATCACCCTGACCCAAACCGCCTAGACAGCCTACGCATCCGCCACGCGCACTTCATGGAAGAGGACCCCCGCAGTTTCGACGCCCCCTTCTTCAACATGTCCTACGCCGAAGCCTCGGTTCTCGACCCGCAACAACGCGGCCTCCTCGAAGGCGCCTACCGCACATTCGAAAACGCTGGAATACCTATGGAAACACTCTCTCGTTCTCCCACATCAGTCTACTGCGCCTCCTTCTCGCGCGATGGCGAAACAATAACAGGTCGGGACTTTAGTGCACAGTCTCGGTATCATGCTACGGCGAACGGGTCGTCCATGCTGAGTAACCGCATTAGTCATTTCTTCGATCTCGCAGGGCCGAGTTTGACGGTCGATACGGCGTGTTCATCAGGGTTGTACGCGCTGCATCTTGGTACGCAAAGTATTCTTGCGGGAGAGAGCAAGATGTCGCTTGTCTGCGGCGCAAACACATTCATCACACCAGAGAGCCAGGCACTTGCACTCAGCAACGGCGGATTTCTGAGCGTGGATGGAAAGAGTTATAGTTTTGATGCCAAGGCGAATGGATACGCCAGGGGCGAAGGGTTTGGCTTTGTCTTGCTGAAGCCACTGGATGCGGCGCTGAGGGATGGCGACGTTGTCAGGGCGGTCATTAGGGCGACGGGTGCGAATCAGGATGGAAGGACGCCGAGTATCACACAGCCGAGCCAACAGGCCCAACTGGATTTGCTGCGGGATACGTATGGTGTTGCAGGGCTGGATGTTGCTGATACCGACTACGTTGAAGCTCATGGGACTGGTACGCCAGTCGGTGATCCTATTGAGGCGGCTGCTGTGGGGCAGGCTTTCCGCGATGGTCGAAATGCGGACAGGCCGCTTTATATGGGGTCTGTGAAAGCGAACATCGGTCATTTGGAAGGCGCTTCGGGTATGGCTGGCGTCATCAAGGCCGTTCTCGCGCTGGAGAATGCGGTGATTCCGCCAATTGCCATGTTCGAGAAGCCCAATCCTGCTATCGATGTATCAGGTTTGCAGCTTGCATTCCCCCAAGAAGCAGTCCCATGGCCAGCAACAGACACCCGCCGGGCATCCGTTTCCTCCTTCGGCTACGGAGGTAGTAATGCCCACGTCATCCTCGACGATGCATACAACTACCTGCGCACCCACGGTCTGGAAGGCCTGCACCAATCTGTCTGCGAGCCCACCTCCACCAACGGCCATACCAATGGCTACACGAACGCCAACGGTAACGGCACTCACTCACTTAAAACCCCTTACGCTATCATCCCCTTCTCAGCCGCAGATAGCGACGGCACAAAGCGCCAAGCAGCAGCCCTCCAAACTTTCCTCTCCTCGCACGAAGCTGCCTACACCGCAGACTTCCTCTCAGATCTAACACACACGCTCTCATCCCATAGATCTCTCCTCCAATTCCGATCTTTCGCCGTCATCTCTTCCCTTACCGACGATCTCACCACTATCGTCTCACCGAGCGTCTTCAGCAGTACTTCTTCTGCTCCTGACCTCTCCTTTGTGTTTACAGGTCAAGGCGCGCAATATGTGCGTATGGCCACTGGCCTGCTGCATTATCCCGTCTTTCGTCAGAGTCTTGGGAACTGCGATGCCTATCTCGCCAGTCTTGGTAGTACCTGGGCTGTGCTAGCAGAACTTGAGAAGGATGGAGATGCTAGTCAGGTGTCCAAGCCAGCGCTGTCGCAGCCTCTCTGTACAGCTATCCAAGTGGCGCTCGTCGATCTACTTCGCACATGGGGTATCATCCCCCGTGCGGTGGTTGGGCATTCGTCGGGTGAAATTGCAGCTGCGTACTGTGCAGGTGGACTGGATCGCGAGAGTGCATGGCGAGTGGCCTACTTCCGCGGTGTTGTCGCCGATAAACTGGCGTCTGACCCAGAGAGAGAGCCAACAACAATGATGTCTGTGGGCTTGGGCAAGGAGGCTGTCCAGACATATCTGAAGGCTGAGCCAACGGTGACTGTCGCATGCGAGAACAGTCCTGTCAACGTCACGTTGTCAGGTCCCACAGTGGCTATCTCGCGCTTATTCGACACGCTGGATGCTGATGAGGTCTTCGCACGGAAACTGACTGTGAAGATTGGGTACCATTCCGAGGCGTTGCGCGATGGCGCGGTGGAGTATGAGAATTTGCTGGCTGGAATACGCGCACCGACGAGGGAGGGCAAAGAGCCGAGCACTGTCGCCTTCTTCTCATCCACCGAAGGCAGCTTTATCACTCTGGAGGGTCTTGCGAGTCCGAGCTATTGGGTGAAGAACCTGCTCTCACCAGTACTCTTTACCGATGCGGTAACAGCACTGGTCAGCGACAAAAAGCAAGCCCCCAAATTCTTCGTCGAGATCGGTCCTCAATCTGGTCTTCGACGCCCCGTCAAAGATATTCTTAAGCACCTAGGCGAAGGTGAGGATAAATGGTCGTATGCAGCTGTGCTCAACCCTCGTCAGCCTGACATCCGCACCCTCCTCGAAACCATCGGCGCCCTTTGGAGCGCTGGCCTCCCCATCGACCTCAACTTGCCCAACCAAGCCACTCTCAAGCCTACAGCCAAGCCAAAGCGACTAACAGATCTTCCCGCCTACCCCTTCTCCCGGGCCAAGCTCTACTGGGACGAACCCCGTCTCAGCGCCCTCTACTCCCAGCGCCCCTTCCGGCGACACGCTCTTCTCGGTCTACGCGAAAACGACTTCAACCCTGCTCAACCCACCTGGCATCACAAGATACGCCTCGCGGAAGCTCCTTGGATCGTTGACCATGCGCTCGAAGGCTCGCCGCTCTACCCCGGCACGGGTATGCTCGTAATGGCCATCGAAGCTGCGCGCCAGCTGCTTCCGCCTAGCGCAGCCATCAGCGGGTATAGACTTGAAAACATTCGTTTCATGCGCTCTATACCCGTGAACGAGACAGAAAAAGGCACCGAGGCGAAGATCTACCTCCAACCGCGCCGGCATACTGCCAAAGACGCAGCGCAAGGCGTGTATGACTGGCGTGTGTTCACTCTCGGCGGCAACGAGTGGATTGAGTGCGCATTTGGTAGTATTCGCGTCGAGCTTGAGGAAAGTGAGCCTTCTCCAGAGACAGCCTTGCGTAAAGCTAGATGGGAGAAAGCTGTGGGCGAGGAGCACGCAAGCGCGGCGAAGCAATGCACGTTGAGTGTGCAGAGCGCCCAGCTGTACGAGAATTTGAGTAAAAAATCTGGATTCGACTATGGTCCGTACTTCCAAGGCTTGCGGGACATTAAGTACTCGCGCAACGGGTGTGCGACTGGCACTCTTGCGCTGCGAGATTATGCGAAGAGTATGCCGTATGCCGCCGAGGACCCGTGTGTGATTCACCCCACAACGTTTGACTCAGTTTTCCACGTGGGCTTCGTCTCGCTGAGTATGGGTGGCTGGGAGCCGATCCCCACGCTCATGTTCAGTAACCTCAAGGATCTGTGGGTGTCGCACAAGCTATTCGCGCTCCCTGGCAATCCGCTGCTTCATGTAGCGACGAAGGAAGTGGCTCGCACATTCAGAGAATTTGAGTGGGATGCTAGCACGTTGCTTGCTGAAACGGGCGAGCCGGTCATGGTCGCCAAGGGTGAGCGCGGAACTGTCATCGCTGGTGCGGGCAGCAGCACACGTGACGATGATGGTGCAAGTCGTTTCTCGTACGGCATTGATTTCAAGCCCGACCTCTCACTGCTAAGCAAAGCTGAGACAGAGACATACTTGAAGGCGCTCTTCGCGCGCGACCCGCAGTTCTCTCCCGACCCCAAGGACGCTGAGGCTGTCGACCGCGCGGACGCCATTGCGTTGTTTTTCATCGAGCAAGCGCTGGACAAGATCGACAACGGCGAGCCGGTGACATTTGACAACCACTTGACTAAGTACGTGGACTTCCTGCGCAAGGTCCGTGCAAATAGGGAGAAGTACACATTGGCGTCGCGGGGACTGGAGCACTTGAGCATCGAGGATGTCTTGCGTGAGGCGGACGACGAGCCGACGCAGAAGCTTGTGAAGAAGGCTGGTGAACATCTCTATGGGATACTGACAGGAACGGACAATGCGTTGCAGATTATCTTTGAAGGCAATCTGGCTAACGGTAAGTTCAATAACACATACTGTGGAGATGGAAACAAAAAGACTGACACGGGGACAGATTTCTACCACTGCGACTTCTACTCGCGTCACTACCGCAAGGCTGGCGCCTATATGAACATCCTTGCACACGCGAATCCTCAACTCAGGATCTGCGAGGTTGGCTCAGGGACTGGTAGTGCTACCTCCAAAGTGCTACCGTTTCTGGTAGATGATGAAGGTCTTCAGGCTGATCAGTTGGTGCGATTCAGCGAATACGCCTACACCGACATCTCAGTCGGCTTCTTTGAGAAGGCTCGCGAGAAGTTCGCATTCGCAGAGAAGCATATGCGCTTCGCCAAACTCGACCTAGAGATCGATCCTTCGCTCCAAGGCTTCAAGCTAGGCGGCTACGACGTGATCATGGCCTGCAACGTAATTCACACCACGTCGGATCTCATGAAGTGTCTCCGCGATCTCTACGCTCTCTTGCGCCCTGGCGGAAAACTCATCATGATGGAGACTACAGTCGACAACATCCGCGACGGCATCATCTTCGGCTTGCTTCCAGGGTGGTGGATGCGCGAGGGCCATTGGTGGGAAGGCGAGGATGTTGACGCCGTACCCGGAGAAGACGAGGCTTTGGGACCAATTTTGACCGAAGAAGGATGGGATGCTGCGCTGAAGACCGCGGGCTTCTCAGGTGTCGACATGGTGTTTAGGGACAACGAGTACAAACCTCGGCACCGTGTCTCAACGCTCGTCGCAACGAGGCCAGAGGAAGCTGAGGTTCAAGCTGCGCTTGAAAGGTGGGTCATCATCGCGGATGCTGCGCAGGCTACTTCTGCCGATACGCTGATGGCGAGGCTCACTACATTGCCGTGGATTGGCAAGACCGAGACACACACTCTCGAAGGTCTCATTGCCGCTGAATTGGATTTGAGCAGCACCAAAGTCATCAGCTTGCTCGAGCTCGACACTTCCATTCTCGGCACCATCGCAGAACCCGAGTTCGAAGCCCTCAAAAAGATCAGCTTGAACGCCAAGACAGTCCTCTGGCTGACACGCGGCGGCAGTCCTGGTGCTGGGAACCCCGCCGCTGAGATGGCAGTCGGTTTCTCGAGAAGTATTTGCTCTGAGCGGGGTGATCAGGCCTTCGTCACCTTGAGTTTGGAGACCAATGACCCAGCTGAGGGAGCGAGCCATGTGGTCCGTCTCCTGGAGCACTTCCACAAGATAGGAGACAAGAGCGCAGACGCCGATTCCGAGTTTGCAGTGCATAACGGCCTCATCAACATTCCGCGAATCGTCCCACAGAAGAGCGTTAATCAAACCCTTGCCGCGCGCGCCAAACTTCCCGACAAAGTCAGCTTCACACTTGGCCAAGCATCCCCGAAACCGCGCATCAACTTGACCATCCAACAGCCTGGTTTGCTCGACACCCTATACTACACCGAGACCATCCCTTCCAGCACAGAGCTGCACCCCGGTGAAGTTGAAATCGAAGTAGCAGCCGCTTCCCTCAACTTCCGCGATGTAATGATATCCCTGGGTCAAGTGCCAGGTGATGGTCTCGGCCTCGAAGGCTCTGGCACCGTCATCCGCGCTGGACCAGACTGCACGTTGCAGCCTGGGGACCGCGTCATGTACTTCATCTTCTCGACGGGTGGCTGCTGTGGAACCTACGTACGCTGCGACGAGGCATCGACGCGTAGGATCCCACGCGAAGACATCTCGTTCTTGGATGCGGCTGCCATTCCTGCTGTATGGGCTACGGTTGTGTATGCTTTCGACTATGTAGGCCGGCTGCGCAAGGGCGAGAGTGTATTGATCCACGCTGGAGCTGGTGCTGTGGGGCAGGCTGCTATACAGCTCGCGCAGCTGCGTGGGGCGGAGGTGTTCGTCACGGTTGGAAGCGAGTGGAAGCGCCAGCTGGTCAGGGAGCTTTACGGCCTCGCGGACGACCACATCTTCCACAGCAGAGAGGCGAGCTTCGTCGACGATGTGTTCCATGCCACGGCCAACCGCGGTGTTGACGTCGTCCTGAACTCTCTAGGAGGCGAACTTCTCCAACACTCATGGCACTGCACAGCGCCCTTCGGTCGCTTCATCGACATTGGCAAAGCCGATATCCTCGCCAACAACACGCTTGAGATGGGTCACTTCCTGCGCAATGTCACATTCGCGGCCGTGGACGTCGCGGGTATGTACGCCGAGAACAAGCCCCTGATGCAACTCGTGCTCGACGACGTCTTTAGTCTGTTCGCGGCGAATCCTGGGCTCCACAATCCCAAGCCGCTGCATGCATTTGCGCCGAGTAAGATTGAGGAAGCGATGCGCGCGCTGCAGGGCGGTAAAATTGCAGGGAAGGCCGTCATCGATTTCGAAAAGTCGGGAGATGTGGTCGTGTATCAGCCCGCGCAGAAGCCGGCGTACGCATTTGAGGAGCAGGCTACATATGTCATTAGCGGTGGTTTGGGGGGTTTGGGGCGCGAGATCATGCGCTGGATGGCGTCCCGCGGCGCACGGCATTTCCTCGTCACCTCGTCGCGAGGCGTAGCTGGGCGCGCCGATGTGATCGCCTTCATCAAGGAGATGGAGGCCCAAGGCGTCGTAGTACACGCGCCGGCGTCGGATATCTCCAACCGCGCGGTCCTCAAGAGCACCCTCGAGGAGGCTAGCAAAGCGCTGCCGCCGATCAAGGGCTGCATCCAGGCAGCGATGGTGTTGTCGGACAACATGCTCTCCAACATGACCGTCTCGCAATTCCACCGCGCCCTGGCGCCCAAGTATCAAGGCTCGTGGAACCTTCACGAACTCCTGCCCAAGGATCTGGACTTTATGGTCTTCCTCTCCTCCATGAGCGGCATCATCGGCAACCCCGCGCAAGCCAACTATGCAGCCGGCAACACTTTCGAAGACGCGCTCGCGCGGCACCGTACCGCCAGTGGGCTGAAGGGCGTTTCGTTCGATCTCGGCTTGGTCTTAGAGGCTGGGTGGGCGAGCGACAACTTTGAGGACGTGACGAAGAGTCTGCGCGCTGGGCTGGGTGGGCTGACGCAGAAGCAGCTAATGGCGATCTTGGATGTCTTGTGTGATCCCGGTTACGATTGCGCCGGCGGCGCAGCGCAGGTGGTGAACATCCATGATAAGCCTTCGAAGCTGTATCGGATGTTCCAGGACGGCGTTTTGCACTGGGTGGGCAAGCCGCTGTTCAAGAACCTCCTTCGTCTGGGTCAGGTCGAGCTGGTCAATGGCACCGGGGCTGGCGGCGAAGGCGAGGCGGCAGCCGTCGACTATCTCGCTCTCATCAAGGCGGCCGCTGATGCGAAGGAGGCTGCGCAGATTGTAACGTCGGCGTTACTTGGAAAGCTGAGCAAATCGCTGTCGATACCGGCGGAGAATCTCGACGTAGGCAAGCCAGCCTATGTGCTTGGTGTTGACTCGCTCATTGCGGTTGAGCTGCGGTACTGGTTCCTTAAGCAATTCGGCGTTGAGGTTCCTGTCTTCGTCATCTTGAAGAAACAGCCGGCCGTTGAGCTGTGCCAGCATGTAGCGGATCAGGTCATTGCATCTAAATGAGGTTTGTAGGTCGCGACACGACGCGACGAGGTTGGCGTCGCTAGCTGCGCGGGGCAGCCGCTCACGACTCCGACGCAGCGAGGCCCACCACCTTCGATAGAACATCAACATATTTGTGAAGACAACACGAGTTCATTTTGGAATAAAACAGATTACACATGATTCCAGGGAAGCCATCACACTGATCCGTTTGCCGAGCTTTCAGTTCCAAGCGAAGCCGATTCGATCGACCAGTGAAGTTACGTACTGATCCATAGCGGGCGTCCATGGCAAACCTCGCGCCGACGACAGCAAGGTCTCCGGGCCCTCCACGACGTGCAACGCAAGAAGACACATTGCTATGATCGACGCTTTCTGCCACCTTCCTAATCGGGTAATTTATTTGAGGTTTGTAGGCTGTTGTAGGTTTGTTAATTCTACACCTGAGAAATCTTGAACCCGCCCGGCAATTGACTCTGGTAGACGCCTGTCGGGTCGTACTTCTTCGCGACCTTCTTCATAAATGCCACCTTGTCAGCGCCATAAGCCGAAAGTGGATCCTGGTCCTTATCGGCATAGTTGAGGTACAGGTACTCCACCGCTGTGCCTTTCTCTGTGGCAAACTTCTGAATGCCGTCGGTCAGCATCTTGCCCTGAGTAATGAACAGGTCATCATCCTTCGCCTCGGACCAAAGTAGGTATGACTGATACATAATGAAATTTTCAGTGTAGCGTTCCAACCCAAGCACGTTGCCGCCTCTGGCTGTACTGTTCGCCGTGTAGCTTGTGGCAAAAACCTGGTGCAAGCACGAGATGCGCCATTGTCCAGAGGCCTTGGCTCGAAGCTCCGTCAGCATGATGTCGTATAGACGCGCTGTCTCCTGAAGAGTCTCATAATCAATCTTGTATGAGAGGGTACGGAATTGAACTCTAGTTGCTTGTATTAGCGACAATCTCACATTGAAGTCAGTGGGAAAACGTACCGTTTGGTCGTGTCACTACCAAACTCGGCAGCAATCGCGCTCATTGGCTGGATCTTGGTAGAATCGCTGAGGGTGTTGTTGACGGCGAGAAACTCGCTATAGGCATCCGGGCGAGCCACGGGTTTGGTGTAATCGAACGCAGCTCTTACGACGTTTACGGGACTCGCTGTTGAAAATCCTTGGAAGAGGATCAGAGCAGCGTTTGGATCTCTGTTCGGGTCGAGACCAAAGTCGACGAGCGACTTGAAATGTTGGTTGACGGTGGATGCAGGCCATGAGACGATTCCTCCCCAGAGATCTTCGTTCTCAAATGTCTCCATGTCATAACGTGTTACGATGCCAAAGTTGCTGTTACCCCCTTTGAGAGCGGTGAAGAGATCAGCATTAGACGTCTTGTTGGCATTTACGATGCGACCATCGGCAAGGACGACCTGAAAATTGATCACGTTGTCACAAGATAATCCAACGCGAGGTGCGTAGTGAGATATCCCACCACCTAGTAGGTAGCCACCAACGCCGACGGTACTGCCTCGGCCTCCGGCTACCATACGTCCTAACGGCTCAAGAGCTGCGTAGACAGAGCCCCATCTCGCCGCTGGTAAGATGCTTGCTACCTCGGAAGCAGCATTGTAGGTGGTCCCATTCATGTTCAGCAGATCGATCGTAACGCCATCGTCGACGTTGTTGGCGCCAGGAATCGGAGTATGGCCACCAGATCGTACGGCAAACTTGCAAATCTTCTGCGTGCTGGCAGTCGTAAGAGCCTTGACAATTGAAGCCACTTCCTCGGCGTTTGTGGGCTGCACGATACAGTTGGGCGACAGTCTGCTCTTTCCATCGAAGTAAGAGGCAATACTCGCGTCGTACGCACTTTGACCAGGGTAGGTCACGCGCTTGGCTACAGGACTTTGGGTTAGAGCTGTGCACTAAAAGAAGTCAGAACAGCATTACAAGGCAACGTGAAGCTTACACAGTAGGATTCGTTTTGGGCGCGCGTTACGCTGACCAGGGTCGCGGCGCCCAAGGCCAAGCTCAGACAAAACATGATGCAAGAACAGGCGGTGAATGGTCCTTAACGAGGAGGACGAGACAGCTCAGAAGTTTCTAAGATACCGGGTCATCAGCCTTTTGATACTGATCACATAGGTGGACCAGATGCCCGCCGAGATGTGAAAACTCATTGACCGAGTCAGCAAGACCGCGGATGGCAGCAGCCGAAGATGATCTCCACGCTCCGTTAGAGCATTCCGGCAGAGGCCTCCGTGCCGACTGCATCAACTCGACTACATCAAATCTGGAGTCTGCCGTGGAATTTGTGGCGAGTCTGGGCATCGTGACCATGGAGGGAATGGGGAAGGAGGAGCATTCATCGGAGAAACTTACTGATCAAGTCGGCGCTAATCCCAACATAGTAACGCCCAGCCATTTTCTGGAGTCAACGGAAGCACGGCTGCGGCGTCTTCTCCACGAAAGGATCAACGCCGTTGCGGCTCTGCCGTCTTATCAAGCAACACAACTCTTCATCCAATGACAGCAAGTAAGAACACGGTCGAGCAGATGATTGACCCGCAACCCGTTCGCCTGCATCCTTCGCCCATGTTCTCCTTTCCCGACCCTGTCCCGCAGGATTCAGCTAGCAGAAACGCTACGGCAGTTCCGCTGTGCGGCACGGCGGGAGCTCTGATTCAAGCCACTGTACATCATTTCGTGGAATAAAGGGTAATTCGACACGTGAAGAGTCTACCTGGGTAAGTACTCGATGCAGATAACCTTGAGATCTCAGGTGCAGCCAGATAAGATGGATGAGGCTGAGAGTAAACACGTTGCCTACAAGCTAAGTCGGAAGTGTTGCGCTATCGATTGAATTAAATCGAGATTCATCATTGCCATTACAGGGGATAGACAGGACGCATTGCATTATGCTCTCAGCCTCGCCCACAGTGGCGGCACATGAAATGTCCGGATCAATCAACCTGCTTCGCTTAGACGGATTACCATTTGGCTGGATCTGCCAACCCAGCTTGTTTTGAATCCTGCGAGACAGCCAGACTCAAATCGACGTAATGCCCCCGTCGCGCTGTTGAAAACATCCCACTTTGAGGGCTGCTTCCACAGCAAGCACGCTCGTAGGAAGATGGTGGATCTCACTCAGCCAATCGTACGCGCACCAGATGACTACGTGGTAGACCTCGAGAACCCACAACGACGAGGTGAAGTCATCATCCTCTGGATTGGAATCGTGGGAACGATCATCTCGACGTTTCTTTTGGCCGTTCGAGCCTACACCAAAGCTGTGTTGGTCAAGAAATTGTCGTCTGATGACTGTAAGTCATTCCCGTGAACGCGATGCATCTTTGCTAACGGCTGCGCCAGATTGCCTGCTCCTTGCATGGGTAGGTTTCCACGACTCTTCTGTCGAAGAAAGCTCATGGCTGACATGAGCTGATTGGCAGGTCTTTGCGATACCTGTACAATTACTCATTATTTGTAAGTTCTGTCCGCTGCTTCCTTTATCTTATGGAACGAGATTCATAACAGCATTATAGATAGGGCACCAGCAGGTCTCATTGGTGTACATGCGTGGGAACTTACCGGCCACCAACTGAACACTATCGCGAGAGTCGGTCTCCCTTGGGCAACCTTGGCGGCATTTTTTTGCTAACATCCAGAACTCTAGATAACTCTAACAACTACTGTACTATACTCGCCAGCTCTCGCCTTCGCAAAGCTGTCATTCCTTTGTCTCTACCTGAACTTGAGCCCCGCGCGCGGCTTTCGCGCTGGAGTGTACTTCACCATATTCGTTGTCGTCGGATCTTGTGTCGGCATCGTCATCTCTCTACTTGCAGCATGCAAGCCGTTTGCGAAGAATATCGACGTCACCGTCACAGAAGGGCAATGTTTGAACAAAGCGGCATTATACATCGCTACTGGGGTACTGAACATCGTCACGGATATCATGGTCATCATCCTACCAATACCCATGGTTCTGCGACTACAAATGTCGAGAGAGCGGAAGATTATGGTGATAGGCATCTTCAGCGTTGGCTCGATGTAAGCCTTCAAGCCCAAGCGCGCGGGTATCACTGACTAAGGGGCTAGTACATGTGTGACTAGTGCGGTGCGCGTCGCACTGCTTCCTCCAATGTTGACTTCCAAAGACGCTTCCTGGGACACAGATTATCCTAGTCTGTGGATGTAAGTGCGCAGCTTTCGTCAAGCATCAGCTCTTTGCATCCCTCACTAACAAGATCCACTAGTCTTATCGAAGCCAGTCTCATCATCATCACCGGTTCTCTCCTAACCCTGCGGCTGTTCCTCAGGCACGTGGCCCCCTCTCTGGTAGGCAGTTTCGAAGCCACTCGACCATCGGCAACACGACAGGACTTCGGATTTGAGTTACAAGAACACGGAATGCTTGATCCTTATGATGTTGAGGATGGCGCGTCTGAGAGGGAGATACTGGGAAAGCAATATGACAACGATGACAGGATACATTCATCTCGGAGCTCGGAGCATAAAGGCTGTCACAATCAGCAGGTACTTGGCTCAGATAGTAAGCCTTGACAAGCTTCTGGACGCATTTTGCTCAAATACGAAGACTTTGGCATCCATTTCAAGAACTAGATGCTGTGCCAGCATCTTTTACTCCATATGGTTTCCGGCGAGCCATGCTTTTCGCTTTGTGCTCTTGGGCATGATCGTAGCTGCCTTCTTGGTATGCAATTGCGAGACTGCGTTCTGAGATGCATTATGTCGGGTCTACAGCCACTCTGATCAAAGCGCTGGCGCACTAGTGCTATTGACAACCAAACTAGAGCCACACTCCAAGCTAGCCGGCCGGGTACCTTGCATCCGTTCGCGCTATAGTTTTGCGCCTCCTGAGTTAGATGACAGCTGACCAAGAACATCAAGATTTCTTGTTAGGTGGATTCTGTAAGTCACTTGCGCGGGCATTAGCAAAGCAGGTCAAGCGAAGGGTGAAGTAGAAAGAATGGTTTGTTATCATCAATCATATATCTGATGCGCTTGCAGATTTACAAAGAAAAACCCACTAAAAGGGAGGTATCAAGGCCGTTAAATGAATGTTGCAGAACCTATCCGCATCACCCCCGCATCTACCCATACAAAACCACCGGAGTAGCTTCTGCAGCCTTTGCGACCGTAGCCAGGGTAGACGGGGCAATCCACCTAGCAGCCACGGAAGCCTTGCTCTGCACCGGCGCCGCACCACCATCATTGTTGTTCTGGCAAGTGCCGCCCGAGCACTTGTGATAGATGCTCATCGCATTCGCACCGCCACAGATCTGCTTGACGTTGCCCACACAAGACTTGGTGCATGAACCCATGATACCAGCCTTGGGTGCGTACTTGGGGTTGAGGCTGTTGTTGCAGAAACATTCATTGCCGTTCTCGGGTGCTGCGTAGGTGAAGCCGCGGGCATTGCAGTAGTCGACACAGATCTCAATGGACATGTAGTCGTTGAAGGTCCATGAACCGTTCATCGCGCGGTCGCTCACATTGTCGGAGCCACAACCAACGTACTCCCAGCCCTGGATGGCGGTCAAGTCGTCGTGATCGGTGGAGCCGCCGTCTGTTGATGGTGTGGTGCTGTCTGGGCAACTTCCTGGTGTAGCGCGTTGCGGGCCATAGGTGACGGGGTTGCAGCCGGGGAGTGCAGCAAGCTTTCCACTGGTCTTCTCGTTGACCGATACTGGGATCTTGCAGTCGTTGCACTCTCGGTCGGTGAACATGGTCACGGCTGGGCAGTCTTCCACGGCACCTCCGGCGTCGTTGCAGTTGTCGACAGCGTTCTGAAGTACGTTCACATCCCATCCGTTCAGGAAGTCGCCGTGGAGACCAAAGCCGGTTGCATCTCCTTGAGCGAAGACAAAGGGGTGCTTGCCATCAACCCACTGGTCTGCGAATAGGGCAGTGTCGTAGAAGATCTCGAAGAAGATCGAAATCATGTGCACGGGATGCGAGGCTGGGCAGTTGCCGCTGTTGTACACATTGCCCTCCGGGTAGCTCATGTGACTCTTGTGATCGGCAGGGTCAAGGGTTTTGCCGTCCCAGCACTGAGGAAAGTAGACTTGGGCTCGCAGTCCACCTGGGCATGGGTAGTCGGGGAAACCGTTAGTTTCCGGTTTGTTCGCACCAAGGCAGTTGAAGGAGATGCCCTGGGCGGCAAGACTGCCGTCGTAGCTGCGAGTGAATGGGTCACCGGCGACCATGCGGAAGCCTTCCGGGAAAGCATGGAGTTTCTCAGTCTGATTGGTGCCTCGACGCTGAAGGTAGTAGACGGTCATGCCACCGTTGGTGTCGTCTGGGTCACCCATGACCGGGACAGGAGCAAAGCCGGATCCGTCCTTGTATTTGACGTAAAGCTGCGGCGTCCAATAATTAGACATGTCCTCCTGCAAATCGTTAGTCATGTAGCACCAAAACGAGGTGACTGTCCTACCTTGATCGTGCATGACGAGCACTTGGAAGCTCGGGTGTCTGCGTAGGTCATAGAGGCTTTGAAGGCGGCTCCGCCTGAGATCGTGTGGACATGGCCAGAAACGGCTCCAGGGTTGACAATGGGATCAAGTCGCTCTCTGACAGTTCGTCCCGGGCAAGACATTCGGAAGAAAGCATCTGAGGAAGCAGCAAGCCCAAGGGCAAGAAGAAGAGTGTTGGTGCTGAACATATTGGAGATCTTAGATAGAGAGTAGAAGAGAGAGGTGGAGATGGTAGAAGTGAAGTGCTGGTGATGATATTGATGCGTTGGAGACACGAGCTTTATACCGAAGTGAAGGTAGATACTGATGGTGAATGCTAGTCCTAATCCTGTGTGACAGATGTCAAAATGGAAAGCGTGGCACACTAGAAAGGTGATGATGTCGGATGTCTTTGTTAATCAGTAGCCCCGAATCCTTAGGTCAAATATATCAGTCTAGGCGCAGAGGTAGTACGTATCGGGCAGAAGATGTGAATTCTAGCCGGTGGGCGTTTGTCGTGGCTGTTTTCTCGATCTCAATCATCGCGCGAAGTCGGTTTCTGACAGCCGCCAACTGGCGTGTCGCAGTCCCACATTCATTACGCGTGACCTCACTTTCGAATTAGGAAATTAGATGAAAGAACAAATCGTGGCTTCCAGGATGGCTGTGAGACTTAGCGTCCAGACGCACGCTTCTGGACGTGTATCACCTCGCCAATTTGAAAGAGGCCATATCCACACGCCATTGTTTTCGCCGTCGGTCACCGAGATGCGTCCATCTCCGAAAAGCGACACTGAATAGCGCGAATTGCTGTATGCGATAGCGGTATATACGAATTGGTGTGCGGTCTAATCCCGCTCATGTGAAAGGCACATGACCCCTCGATTGAAACCCATGGATGTGAACGGCGAGTCCTATCCGTCCGCCGCCAAGAGATGCCCAGCATGGTGGTAGCTGTTGAGAAATCCTGGTCCCATCGACTATCAAGCTTTGGTCCCTGGGGTGAAACTTTGTCTAAGATGCGATTCTTTAGCAATGAACGGGGAATGCGGAAGTAAGCCCTGTGACAGTATCGCCTTTTCGTCCTCTTGCCGGCTACAGCACCGTGAATGAGATCTAATGGAAAAGGAAGCTATACTATAGAGTAGCGCTCATCGAAGACCCTCTTCGAGAATTCCTCTTAGATTCTTTGTTGCTGATTCAGAAGAGGCTACCCCGAATCAGCATCTTGTGGTACTGCGATGAGCCACCCACCTCATGACATGTGGGCGACAAGCCACTCGCAACTTCCGCATCGCCAACAACAAAAACGATGCCAACAATGCCCTTCATGCGATTGATATCAGGGACAATACGGAAGCTCACCGTTAGCTCTATTTCAACTCCCGCGATCGTGCTAGAGGCAGTTGCCGGGCGGCCGCATCCCCGGAGTCGAGATGTTTCATAGCGTTGGTGCTAACCGAGAACAGCTAGACTACATATTGCGATTGCGGACCCGGCAGATGGCCCGGGAACGTCTCGGAGCCCTCCCCACGCTCCCCTGCAGGACAAAATCCCATGATCTCCTTCATGAACATATACACTACCCTTCACTCACATCTGCCGAACGTGTTCCTGCGTCCTGAAGTCTCGTCGCCGACTCGTACCTTCCATCCACGGGACATGCCGACCAGCGCAATTTTACCTTTCACACAAGCCCCTCAATCTCTTCTGACCGTTGCGCCTAGGCCCTGATGTACTTTCATGCCACTCGGCCTCCATCTCCACATTTGGCCTAAACATGTCAGTAACACGGCATCAGTATCAGCAGCCCCCGACCGAATTATCGCGCTGATAGTGCTCTGTACCACAGTGCAAGTGGGGTTGATTAAGAGGCGAGACAAAGACAAGTACCCACCAGGTGGCGCATCACTTGATACCTACGAGAACTTCAAAATGCATAGCGCATTCTGACCCCAGATTTTTGCGCAACTTCCAACAGACTGGGGTTTCTCTTTCCCATGACATGTTCCCCGGTCTTCTAACGCGACGTGGTTGCTGGACCGAGCCGGAATCCCGAGTACCATGGTACGTTCCTGCGTGCGGACAGGTCACAACGCTGTTCAAAGGACCAGGTTGATGGGCCTACAGGAACCGTCAGTCCAATACCAGGACTTTCGTCGCATAGAACGTTCCCGACGATGAAGTTCAGCAGCTGAGAAATGCAGCGGGGGGCCGCCGCTCTTTCTCGTGAAGTCGAGCGGCACTATCACTGTGCATGCCTCAAGAGCGAATGACAATTTAGACATTACTATCGCCTGCTGTAGTGTATGCGCCGCATGCGGGAGGTGATATTCCCGGAACTTACGAGAACAGCTTGTCTGAGTCGTCCGTCTCGCTCGGAGCGTCTTTCGTGAATCGTGTCGTTGGGCGCCTGACAGACACAGTCAGCAACCGCACGTCGATTTAGGCCTCAGATTTTGACATGTGCTTTGCAGGCAAGCGCGGCCCGCATCTTTGCGCCGTTGACGGCGAAGCTCAACGTTAGCCTGCCTTCCGTCGTCTAGACTCCACCATATGGACCACTCGCTACTCA